ATTTAAAACATTAGATAGATTATATAAGCTGTAAAATATTAATAATAATTGGGTTAATATTATTATTAATAGTTTTTATGATTTCTACATCGTCAGTCCTTTTTTTCTGCTCTGTTGTCAACATGTACAGTAATGGAAATCCAGAGTCTTGACCGTTTTGCGTTAGCCGTTAGCTTCACCAACCAATCACACAGTCACGTGGTTTCTGAGCACTCCAGCTGTTCTATAGAACCTCCTTGTGTGCAACATTGTGTTCAATGAGCCGATGAACCATGTGGGCTTTCAATCAATCATTTGTGGCTCAAATCAGCTGTCAACAGGAATGTTATACAGACCCCAGTCACACAGTTCAAATCAAATCAGAACTGTAACCCAACATCAACATTTAACAGAGGGGTTCTTTTATCTGCAGCAACTGCCTATAGAGTAGACCCGGGCAATAAAACGAAAAATAACCGATACCGACATTTATGACAATAACCGACGTCTTTTTCCTCATGTCGGTATTTTCGGTATTTAAAAAAAAAATGAGGAAAAAAGAAACCTGCTTGTTTTCTGTTGCGGTCTTGTTAAAGCCGCCCAGTCTGATACAGGTTTAAACAGACGCTGCTTTCAACAAATCAAACAAATCCCACAGCTTTATCCAATCAGAGCAGAGCAGGGCGGGTCTTTCTGAGGTTGGAGTAGCAGTCTGCAGGATAAACACTGGTCAGCCTGCAGCTCCTGTCCTGAGTGAACAAACCCTGTTCTCCACACTTTGCTCCGGAGCTACCTGAGACGTTGGTATCTAAAATCTAACACACTACAAGTTTATGTGTTCAGAGTGTCGTTATAAAACGGATATGTCCAACCTTGCTCACGTGACTAAACTCCTCTCCTCCACAGCGCAGTTAAAGGAGCGCACCGAGGTGCACACAGGCTGAGTTGTTCTCTGAGAGCTGCTGTTTTCACTTCTTCCAATGAAACAATATCAACTGTAACAGATGAACATTTCTTTGTCCCACATTATAGAAAAGACGTGTTTCCACTTAGCTTTACCCCCCCACCAAAAACCGCTATGTAGTTTATCATATTTACATATTTCATTCTCACAATATAGTTGCTTATATTTAGAACCAYACTGTGACTGAACTGCTCTGTGATTCAATAAGTGATCAAATTTGAAGAATAAATTGTATTTGATTACATGAGCTCTCTAAATAATATAATCTTTTTGAAAGAAATAGTTATTTTAAAAGAGAAATCATTCAGTCTAAGAAATAAAAAAAATGTAGTGAAGTTATTTTGTGCAGTACAAAATACATATTTCATTTTTTTTTTAAACATAAAATTAGTACATACATAATGTGTTTGTTTGCACTGAAAAGTTATGGAGATGGTTAAAGATTTGAATGCCTATATCTGACTCAAGTCTTGACAAAAATGTTTTTATTACATATATTAAAAACACTAAAATGACAAATATAAACAACAGAAAAGCTGTTCAAAATCTAAACTGTGAACTTTGACTAAGAACATGGACACAGTGTATAATGTTATGACTATACTATAGCGTGTACTTGTGTGTGGTGTGTGGTGGTAGTAAGTTTTATCGTGCATTTATCGTTATCGAGGTGAACTAGTCAATATACTGTGATATTGATTTTAGGCCATATCGCCCAACCCTACTATAGAGGTAACATAAGTGAGAACTGTCCTACCTGTGTCAGGAGGTTTGATGAGGTCCATGATGACAGAGTCTGCCCCTTTGGTATACACAGTGATTTGATCGGTGAGAGGGTGTCTAACCACCACGGACATGCGCTTCCTGGTGGAGTCGAAGCCCAGCGTGTGCAGCAGCTCAAAATTGAGCTTTCCCAGATGAGGCAGCTCCACGGTCACCTGGTCAGGAAGCCGCCCAACCAGGGAGCACTTGTAGGCCTTGGCAGCGTAGACCAACGCAGCCTCGTCAGGTGACTCCGCCTCATAGCGCAGCTCTCCTTCCTCCATGGTGCAGGTCTTTCCATCRTAGGAGGGCGGGACAGGGCTGAAGGTGTGCTCCAAACATCCAGAAAGCTGCTCCTCGTTCAGCTTGGTAAGTGTGCTCTCTGCTGAGGGTGAGGAGAGCAGGCTGGAGCATCCCTTGTTGGAGGAGCGGTTCAGACTGGAGGAGCTGCTGCTATTGGAGCCTGAGGTCAGGCGGCTGGGGGTGAAGCGCTTGATGAAGTCTTCAATGGTTTTAACTGGAGACTTCAGCTCAAACCTCATCCGNCCATTTGACTCGTAATAGTCGGCTCAGCCCCTGAGTTTTGATTTTAAAGCAGTCAAATAAGCTAATGGTAAATCAACGTCGTTTAGTCCGTTTTTCTACAAAGTGAGAATCAAANGGGCCTCAGGCCTACAGTGTCTTACCTGTGAGCAGGTCAGACTACACAGGGGGGGGACTCGACTGAGTTCCCCACAGAGCAAGACTCCTCCCCCATTCGTTCACAAATTGAACAGGTGGTCGCACAAGCCGACGCCCTGACCACTGATGAGGAAAGAGATAAGCTCCGTGCTGTTCTCTTAAAGTATGAGAAATCGTTCTCTACTGACTCGCTGGACTGTGGGTTGACTTTAATCCACACAGTCCGCATTCCAACCCCGCCCAACGCTCCTCCCACATTTGTCAGACAGTACAAACCCCCCCGGGCATCACACAAACCTGTAAAAGCCATTATTGATGACCTGCTAAAATCAGGTATAATCAGGCCTTGTAACAGTACATACTCTGCGCCTTTTTGGCCAGTGTTAAAA